TGTTTCTATTTCATTACTTTCTCCTCTGATTTTTATTTCTTCTCTTCTGCTGCGTTTGGGTTTCATTAGTTCTTGCCTTTCCAGTATCTTCAGTTGCACTGTTAGGTCATTTATTTGGGCTTTTTCTAATTTCTTAATGTAGGCGCTTAGAGCTATAAACTTCCCTCTTAGGACTGATTTTAATGTGTCCCAGGGGTTGTGTTGTGTTGTATTATTGTTTTTTTCATTGAATGCCAGGAATTCTTTTATTTATTTTTTCCTAATTTCTCCTTTGACCCTCTCACTGTTTAGGAGTGTGTTGTTCAATCACCAAGAGTTCGTGTAGTGACTAGGGCTTCATCCAGTGCTGACTTTGAGTTTTATTGCTTTGTGGTCCAATAGAATGCATGGAATTATTTCAGTATTTTTGTATTTGTTGAGGTTTGTTTTGTGGCCCAGCATGTGGTCAATTTCTGAAAAAGTTCCGTGGCATGCTGAGTAGAAAGTGTATTCTTTGGTGTTTCAGTGGAATAATTGAAAGATGTCTGTTAGGTCCATTTGATATATGGTATCATTTAATTCAGACGTCTCTCTGTTTATTCTTTGTCCAGTTGACCTGTCTAATGAAGACAGTGGAGTATTGAAGTCCCATACTATTACTGAGTTGGGGTTAATCCATGTCTTAAAGTCCTGTAGTGTTGTTTTCACAAATTTGGGTGCACCAGAATTTGGTGCATATATGTTAAGGATTGTAATAGCCTCTTGGTTAACTGTTCCTTTGATCAGAATGAAGTAATTCTCCTTATCTCTTCTGATTAGTTTTACTTTGAAGTCCATTTTGTCAGATATTAGAATTGCCACCCCTGCTGTTTCTTAGTGCCATTTGCTTGGAATAGTCTTTTCCATCCTTTTACCTTAATGTAGTGCCTGTCCTTGAAGGTGAGATGGGTTTCTTGCAGACAGCAAAGAGATGGATTTTGTTTCTTAATCCATTCGCTTAGCCTGTGTCTTTTGACCGGGGAGTTCAGTCCATTGACATTTAAGGTTATTACTGAAAATTGTGTATTGGTTGCAGTCTTTTTGATTGCTGTTTGTGTTCTCTGTGTAATTTTGTGTTTTCTAGATTATATCTTTGTTTATTTTCTTTTGTTGCCCCTGGGGTATAGTTGTTTCTCTCTCTCTGGTCTCTGTATTGGTTCAAGTATTATTTGAAGGGCTGGTTTTGTGGACATGTATTCTTTCAGGCTATTTGTATCATGGAGGATTTTTCTTTCCCCCTCAACTATAATAGACATTTTTGCTGGGTATAGTATTCTGGGCTGGCATCTATTGTCATGTAGAACTGGAAATACCTTGGTCCAGGCTCTTCTGGCTTTCATAGTTTGCATTGGTAAGTCAGCTGTGATCCTAATGGGTTTTCCTTTATATGTGACTTCTTGTTTCTCTTTTCCAGCTTTCAGTATTGTCTCTCTCTCTCTTTTTTTTTACGTTTAGTGTTTTTACTATGCTGTGCCGTGGAGAGTTTCTTTTCCGGTCCTGTCTGTTTGGTGTTCTATATGCTTCTTGTATTTGTATGGGCATGTCTTTCTTTAATTTTCGGAATCCTGTTTAAGATCTGGTCAACACCATTAACCTGAAATTCTTTTCCTTCCTCTAGTCCTATGATCCATAGATTTGGTCTTTTCATGGTGTCCCACATGTCTTGCATATTCCATTCCTTTGTTTTTAAAAAATTTTCCATACTCTTTGTTTGAGTGGTGCAATTCTTCAACTTTATCCTCCAGTGTTGATACTCTGTTTTCCATTTCATTCATTCTAGTGGTGAGGCTTTCCCCAGTTGTTTCAAGTTGGCTTATTGAGGTTTTCACTTCTTCATTTCTGCCTGTGTTCCTTCTTCATTTCTGCCTGAGTTTTCTTCAATGTTCCTATCTCTTTTGTGAATTCATTCAGAAGTTTATTGCTATCTTCTTTTAGCTCTTTGTTCATGTGTTCTTTTAAATTCGTTGAATTCCTGGATCATGTTTATGATTGTTCTTTTAAATTCAGTGTCCTGCGTGATCTCTAGGGGGTTCTCCTTGTAGAACTCTTCTATGGGATTGGTGGTGTTTGGTGGGGACACGGTGTTTTGGCTTTCCATTTTATTATTCTTTTGTTGTGGTTTTGGCATGTGAATTTCTTTTGTTGTTTATAATTTTGATATGAGAATTAATTTGAAGTATGCTTCTGTTTGTATTATCCAGGTACCTAGATCCTTTCTTTATTGGTTATATAAAGCTGGTTGGTACAGGGTTCAGGTTCTCTCAGGATTATTTTAGAGGGAACTGATGGCTTCAGATGAGCTATTCAGGGGTACCCACAGAAGCTCATTCAGGTTCCAGTCAGGTACATTCAGGCTTCCTTCACCATGTGGAGGCAGGATCCAGGCTCTCTCAGGTGCATTGTCAATGCTATGTCAGAGGGAGGCCAGAGGGGGACCAGAACTTGGCACTCTCTGGCAGTCTGCTGAGCTCTGAGCCCCTAATTGAGGTCCGAACCCACCCTCCCAGGCTGTCTGCTAGGATCTCAGCCTTAGCCTACCAAAGCCAGATCTGCCCTGGGGCCTTTGGTGGGGCCTCAAAAAAATCCCAGGTAGGGGGATGGTATGGGACAATTAGGGGAAGCTCACCACCATGTGGAGGCAGGATCCAGGGGCTGTCAGGCAGTACCCTGGGTTCTCAGGCTCTCTGGTAGTTGGAGGCCAGAAGAAGGCCAGAACCGTGCACTCTCTGGTGGTCTGCTGAGCTCTGAGCTGCTACTCCAATGGAGGTCTGAACCCATCCTCTCAGGCTGTCTGCTCAGATGTCTATTTATTTTAAACCAGATATTTGGATGTCATGAAGAGGAAAATCATATGACTGAACAGCTTAAATTATATTTTCAAATTAGATTTAAAATTTTTAGATTAGATTTTAAAATTTATTTTTATTTTATGTGTATGAGTGTTACGTTCATAAAGGCACCAGTGTTTTGCAGTGCCTCTGGAGGACAGAAGAGGGGATCCAATCCCCTGGAACTATTCTTGTGGATGGTTGTTAGGTGCCGTGTAGGTGTTAGGATTCAAATTCCGTTCTCCTGCAAGAACAGTCAGTGCTCTTAACCACTGAACCATCTTCCCAGTCCCAAATTTAGATTTAAAAAATCTTGCCATGTGTGGTGGCACAGGCCTTTAGTCCTAGAACTAGGGAGGCAGAGGCAGGTGGATCTCTGTGAGACTGAGGACATCTTGGTCTATATAGTGAGTTTCAGGCCAGCAGGTGCTACATAGTAAGATCCTGTCTCAAAACACCAACAATAATAACAAATCTACTTGAGGGCTAAGGAGCGTTGCCCAGTGGGTAAAGTACTTGCAGAGCAAGCAGGAGGACAAGTATTCAAATCCCCAGCACCTGCTTAGATGATGCATTGGCATGGTGAGCTCCTTGCAATTTCAGCCTCAGAAATGGAGTCAAGATTCCTGGAGTGAGCTGGCCAATGAGACTGGCCATAGGTGGAGCTTTGGGTTTGACTGCGAGACCTTTCTTCAAAGAATAAGGTGGGAATCAATCAAGGAAGTTTCCTGGTATCAGTCTCGGGCTATTGTACACACACACACACACACACACACACACACACACACACACACAGCACATATGTATTAGTTTGGATTGGCACATAACATATATGTGCATCTGCTCACATGTTTCCTCCCACATGTACGTATTCATACATATGCAAGTTACATTACATACACATGAAAAGAAAGAAAATCTACTTAATACTGGAGTATACTAGTCTCTAAAAATATTTCACAAATAAAGAATCAAGAGAGAATAAATATGTAGAATTCTAAGCGAGCTTCTATAATGGTGGACTGACCATAAAGTCTACTAATGACTTTAATTGCAAAAATATATTTGTTCCACCTTTCAGAATTATTGGAGCTAAATGGCTTGTCATTATTATTCCCTTTCCTCCCTGTATTTTCTGTGCAGTGAACAAGTTCCATGGGATACCTTTTAATTCTTCATTCCTTTTGTCTTCAGGAATTGTACCGATGTTCTGTGCTGCATGATCTTCATACTGTTTATTGTGGGCTACATTCTGTTAGGACTCGTGGGTGAGTAACTCCAGGTATAGACAATATTTACCATTTCCTAATGAATTAACAAAGCCGATATCACATTTTAAACATGAGTTCTTTTGAACCTGCTTATTATTGATGGTTGTCATTTCTGGACTTATTGGGCAGAAAACATGATACAAAATAAGTGCAAAGCAGGATAGTCAAACGTAAGCTGAAGTCACTTAAGTAGATATAGTGGCAAAGAAGGACAGAAGAAGTTTATGGTTTCTTTAATAATTTTTACTTTTTAAATTCTATTGAGTTAATGTTAATGCTACTATTTGATAGTAAGAATTAGGGCCTTTATTAGTTTGGATTATATATAAACTTATATTTTGGTAAGCTAGCTAAAAACAAGGAGCAATGATTACAGATTTCACCAGATAACACATTGACACTATGGATTCCTATTCTCTTTGCTCACCAGGAAAGCAGGATCTTCTTGTTTATGACCAGGTTAAAGAATTTCTAGAAAGTAAAAACAAAGAGGAAAAACAAGAAGTTTTTTAAAGCACAAAAGAAAGCCAAGAAATGAGGGTGTTTTCTATAGTCAGTATATGAAGCATTTTTCCCAAGAGAGTGAATCCTGTCAGGGTTAGGGCCATGGAATCAGATCTTAACTTCTAGTACCAGTAATTAATGATATAAAGTTACTGTGGAGACACGAGCTACACCTCCAGACCACTGTGAAGCACTTTTCTTTGGTCTTTACTTCTATCTTACAGTAAGAGAAGCACCTTGAGAATCATAATTGAAAATAATTCCTGGCCTGGGGAAATGACTCAGTTAAGAGCACTGGCTGCTCTTGCAGAAGACCAGGGTTTGGGTCCCAGCACCCACATGGCAGCCAACAACCATCTGTAACTCAGTTCCAGGGGATCTGTCACCCTCTTCTGACCTATTGCAGATTGCATGACATGGGTGCACTTACATACATGCAGGCAATACACTCATACACATAAGTAAAAATAAATAAAAATTTAAAATGTTAAAAATACTTCTCAGAAGTTAATTCCCACATTCCCATGCAAACTATATAGAATTGAAGAATTCAAAGATTAGGACAGGAAAACAGGGAAAAGAAGAAAAATATTAACAATTACAAAACTAAATCATAGACTCTTTTAAGGCCCACAGAGTCCTTTTGTCCTTAGGTATTTTAACTTCAAAACTTCTAAATATTAGGATAGATATAGCACAATCTATAGGTTGAATATTATAATAAAATCTTTTCCTATACAAGTAGGATTTTGGCTTATCCAACTTTAGGACATAACTCTCTTGTCTACAGAATTTTGGGCTATCTTTGCTTCTTGTCATAGAATTGAAATTTGTTGCCTAAGAGAAGGGGATTTAGAATCAGGCAGTCTAGATTCTTATATTATCTGGTGGTATAGAGGTAAATGGTTATGTAACCCATTCTACTCACTCAGAAGGAACAGACAGACTCCCTGGACTGCCGGCCAACTCTGAGGGGTAAATGGAGCTAAATTCAGTCACATCGCAGAGCTGTGGGATGTACTAGATAGTAATTTGGTTGACTACCATTGCATAAATAATTTAGTTGCTGTGAATTTCAATATATTATGTTGTTTCTATTGCAACCCATAATTTTGGTTATTAAAGTTTGAGTGCACACAGAACTTCCCAAGGCTTTCCTGCTGTGAGCAGAATCTTTCCATACAAGACCAAAATCTGCAGTCAGATAAGTCTCTGCAGGAAAGCTCTTTGTCCTTTCAGAGAGCTGGAAAAGCCACCCCACTCCACTCCCAGCCCCCTCCCCTATAATCCCTCCCACCCACCCACCCACCTCCTGCAGACACAATACCGGAAGGCCTACTTAGCTCCCTCTGGTACGTGGCAGGAATTTCACCTCTTTGTCCAAGATCTCCAGATTCAATTTGTGAATCTCTTAATTCACATTAGGAAACTGAGGGATAAATGTTCCTCAATAAAGTCAGTGCTTAACATTAAATTAACTCAGTGATTCTCCCAAATTAATCCTATTGCCCCTGCTTAAAATAAATGACCCTAGAAATTCTCTGAGTATCACTGTACTTTCTTTACCGTAGATAACTTTGCGAACTTGATTTCAAAATATAAACTTAACCCCCATTATATTTAGTGCTGGACTGAAAGATGTTTGAAGCAATGGAATTGGCAGGGGCGACTAAATGCTAAGATTTCCTTAGTATGAAAGAACTTGCACCTTCACTTGAGGCAAGAGGAGTCTGTCAGTTCCCCTGGGGGGTGTTGTAAGCACTTTGGTGGCTTTACCGTCATTATTAGATCAGGACCTTCATAGAATGATCTTTTATCCATGATCTTCTCATAAAAAGTGTTACCTGTCACCAGGAAAAGCCAGTTTTGTTTCTTCCAAAATCAGTAGAGAAGAAACCAGTGCTTTGCACTTTGTAGACAATGTGGCCAGCTGGAGTAGTATTTGCATGGGAGGAGCACTTCGCTTTCCGCTGTGGAGAAGCAGAGCCTTTGCTGGAGTGGATGGACTGGAGTCTGGGTAGAAGGTATCGAAACTCCTTGAAAGGTCACAGGAGCATTATGATAAACTGCCTTGGCTGCTAAATTATTATACTGACTCAAAGAATAGGAATACTTGTTATGCAAATTGTTCTTGCTATCCTTGTGCCAACACTGTGCATACAATAATAGCATAATTTTAATATTCAGTAATTTCTGTTTTGCTTTTTTCTTCCTTAATGCATCCCAAGTTGAGCAGGTTACTCTACTGTTATTATTAGGAAAGGCCTCAGCTTGGAGCCCAGAGTTGTTTGTTTTGGGGTTTTAAGCTTTCCTAGAAGGTAGCAGAAATGTTTGCACAGGCAAATCCAGAGCCCCATCTACCTGCTGTGAGAAACCCAACATTAGTAGAAAAGCCGCTTGTTGGGATCTAGACAGTAGTGTCCCCTGGGCATCCGGGGTTAATTAGCCCAGCTGGAAAGATGACTCAGAGACCAAGAGACCCCAATGGAGAGCCATGCTTTTGGCCAATTCCCAACTCTCCAGATTACGAGTGAAATAGATATATTAAACCAGTATCTGAGGAAACAATGTAAGACAAAGAACAAAACCTGGCCAGGACGTAGGAGCCTGGCTTAGCAAAACTTGAGATTGGAGTTACTTGTCTGGAGACTGGGGTTCCTCAGAAGCCTGTTGGGCATTAAGGAGATTCTTGGTAAGTCTGGATACAAGCAAGGAAATTTGGCTGGATTCAGGCCGGACGAACGCTTGTCTTGGCAGTGGTGAGATGCGTGGAGGTGCTACTGCTGGCGGTGATGTGGAAGGTGAGAAGGAAACTAACAGAGTCAGTGATGCGGGAGAGGAAGGACCCTGCAGAAGCCTTGTCTACACCTGGCCTATCTTAGACGATGTGCCTGGGGGCTGATTGGGTGAGGCTCTAGGGATCTTGGGAAAGGATATTTGTACTTGTAAGGAATGTGAAAATAATTTGGTGGGAAGGTAGGCTGGGGATGTTCTATACCTTTCCTTCATCCAGGAGGGGGAACTGTGCCCCAACCACTCCTTGAATCTGATCAGGTTTCCGTCACTGATGTAGACTTGGTGTGGCTTCCATCGTGGAGCAGTGAATGAGGCAGAGTGGACCTGCCAAGGGCCTCCGTGTGCACATGTGTGTCCCAGAGTAGGACCATCACAGAGGATTAGAGGGGTGTGTTACAATTCACTGCAGACAGTAGGTCTGCAAAAACCAAAGCTCAGAAAGGAAGAGGCTTAAATACATACCTCAGTCCAGTTCCTTCTGTTAGAAGGAAGAAGGTAAGCAAGGCAGTTAAGTGAGTGGTATGATATGAACTTTGACCTCACCATTCTGGGTGCTCAGCCATGTGCTTGATACTAGGAGAGTCATGCAGTCATGTGACTACTTTATGTTCATTGTTTCAGGAATGCAACGTTTGGTGTTCATTGTTTCAGGAATGCAACGTACTGGCGGGAGCAGACAGATGTCCACTTTCTCAGTGATCATAGGGACCTCCTGAGGCTCAGGCTCTGAGGTTTAGGCCCTGCCCTTTAGTATCATGCCTCAGTTTACTGTTCCTGTGATCCTTCCCAGCATTGTGGATCCAGGACTGTGGCTTTTTCCCTAAGCAACACCAGTCATCGATTCCTAGTTTCCTGCTTCACGACAGGCAGCCTGACTCTTAGGCCCTGTGGCTAAGGGTGGGATGCCAGAGCAGCCTGTGTCCTCCTACAAGGTTACATTGGGAGTAGTTTTGCTGTTTTGCCCAGCAGACCTAATTCCACAGTCTCATCTATCCTAATGTGAAGTCTCAGGGAGTTTGACAGCTTGTCCCTCCCTTTCTTGTTACAAATTGATCTTTCCCTGTGTAAGGGAGAAACTTCATGTTCCTAAGTGAGACCACTCACTCGTGACCTTTTCAAGAACCAAGATAATTCCAGGATGACTTTTGAATTCTGTCTGTATAGAGGAGTAGGGAACTAGCTCTCTTCAAATAAGTCTAATTTTAAAATTTAATTTAATTTTATTCATTTCAATTTTAGATTTATTAATGCACGATTGGCAAAATACTGTCCTTACGTAGGACATATAACATGGAGGATTTTTTATTGAGAATTTCCTACATGCATATAAGGTGTTTTGATCAAATCTATGCCCACTCCCTTCCCTCCAACACCTCCTCCTATTATCTCCCCATCACTTTTTTCTGACAACTTCATGTACTCTTTTTTCTTTCTTTCCTTCCTTCCTTTCTTTTTTAATGTGGTTTTTTGCTACTCTAACATTCATCCCTCTGAAGAGGTGACCCTAAAATCTTTTAATGATTAGATACGAGCTCCCAAATAATTTTGACTTTTTTGGCCTTTGAAATGGAGTAGGTTGCTAAGAGGCCCAAGGACATTTTGACTTTTAGCCAAGAAACTGGCTACTTTTCTTTGGGGTCTTTACCTAAAGTGCCTAGAGAATTCTTACCTCCTGTTCTTATCACACATCCTCTGAA